ATACTGCTACTTCAAGCAACCACAAGAAGTAACGGCTCCACTTTATTTGATATCACATCCACAAATAATACAGTGCCAACTGCACAAGTCTGTGATTTTCCCCAGAGATCTTTGGAACATGTAGAAATTTTGGCCAGCTCAGTTCCTGTTTAAGGAAAGAATTAAACAAAAGAAATTTGCAACTGGATTTCCTGGAGTTTTCAGAATGAATATGGTATGTTTTGAAGAGATTTGTAACTTGGCATGGGACAGAGTATCTTTTGAAATATTCCTAACAGCTGATTTGTTTAACCCTACTCACGAATTCCATATGTGGAATATGTGTAATGGTGCCACTGGAGAAAAAGCAGTACTAACTTATATTAATGGTTTGTCCAGTAGTTCAGACTTTTATCTTGCCACATTGGGTTTCAAAGGTGAAAAATGATAACCATGGAAAAGAACTGGAAAATAGTAACTGAAATATAGTTGCACAGTAGGAATACTGTTCAGGAGTTATCCTTCACTAACAAAATGTTAGTGGATAATACAATTTGTCCATTAATTTATGGAGAAAGATTAAATCATCCCAGTTATGAACTTTAAAAGGAACAAAATTTGTTATTTTCTGGAAAAGTGATGCAGTTTAGGAAGCTGTCAAACAGAAGTATAAATAATGTTCAAAAAGTACCTGTATTCCAGGATAACCTTTACATATAACTTTGTCGTTTAAAAAGTACTTGCATATAGTCTCCTACCATGTTTTTTGTAACCACTGTGTGATATAGACAGTCTTTACTGAGGTTCTGTTGACCAGGGAAGTCAAATGACAAAGCTCACTGAGAATATAGAATGGAGACTAGATCCAAGTCTTTACCTTTTAATCCATTGTTTATTTCCTCTTAACTTTCCTTTGTTCTTTTAAGGATCACTACAAGGACAAGGTAGCTCCTCTTGGAGATCTGTTAATTTTATTGATATTGTAAGTAAGGGGAAGGTACTCTTGTGCCTGAAACTTTTGATAGAGGAGATAGGATAAGGATAAAATTAGGATAAGGGCTGTATAATATCTCAACACATAAAAATAAACACAGTTCATCATGCATGTCAGTGAGTTTTTTAAGGGTAAAATCAGAGAGTAGGTAGGAAGGGCTTTTAAAATAGAATTATGACTACAAATACACTGATTCTATCATTAGGTATCTTTAACTTGAAATGAACCAAAAATTAATCCAGAATGGGTTAGTGAAATTAATTACTCTTGTAACTAAATTTTCTTAGATAATAATGTGGAACAGCTAGGACCTCTTCAGCTTCAAATAACATAGCTATTTTACTCAAGCTGACTGACATAAGATAACTTATTTTATGGAAAGAGTAGAGCAGATTCCAGAGTTGGTTAAAAAAATAACTTACCGATGTGTCAAGTATCTGGGTTTACTTTTTTTTGGCAGTAGTCTCTCGCTTAGTTGGTGGGAAGGTAGTGGTGGAAATTCCTAGACCATGTATAGATAAGGCAACATTCAGGAAGAGAAGGGGTTTGTCTCTTATTATGTTTTTCTTGGGAATGAACACTGTTTCTCAAAAACATCTTGGACATCTTCCCTTCTGTCTTGTTGGCCAGGATTGTGGACCCTTCCTTGTGCACTTAAGATTCAACTGCAGACAAACACAAAAGGTCAATAATGGGCTTATTTACAAAGGAAAAAAAAAAGGGAAAGAAAACTCAGAGACACACAGAGAGAGATACAAGTTAACTAATGCATCCTATCAGTTCCCCTGACCTGGAACCCCAATAGCAGGTTGAAAGCTGATCAAGAGCCAAGTGACCAGCCCCCAGCCACGAGGGCAAGAGAGAGAAAGCCTCAGCCCAACTTGTCCAGCTTTATATCCAAACCCCCAAAATGGTTGCTTAACTCTGCCCTTGGGTCCTAGCAGTCCTCCCTTCAATGTTGCTGGGATTCATAGTTTCAGTGTCTGGAGTGGGAGTGGAGCCCACAAAACCTTTATCTGTAGCATTCCTTTAGGACATCCTTTCTAACAGGATTAGGCCATGTGCGAGCTCCTAAATCATCATCACTTAGACTCATTTAAATTTTATGCATCAGGCTGGAAGTGTGAATTACCTTCCTCCAAAGCACACAGGAGGTGTAGTTATATCTGTTATCTGAAGGCTATAGTAGGAGGGAAAAAGAATGGAGAATTCATTGTCTACTACTATCTTTAGTTAAGATTGAAGCTAGAGGCTCTGGCCTGTATGTGTCAGCTTTGTCCCAGGCTCCCTTTTCTAATGTTTGTAATATGGCTACAGTAATTTTAGAGTTCATACAGCGAGAGAGAGAGAGAGAGAGAGAGAGAGAAAACAAGAGTTAGGAGGGTGTGGGATTCATCTAGAAATATAGCAACAATTTAGGGCACCTTCCATTATCTGGCCCCAAGGGCAATATCTTTCTCCTCCAGTTAATCTCTCTGTATAAATAATGGCACAATGAAAAGCAATAAGAGAAATATCTGCCTACTAAAAGTTTACAAAGTAGCATGTGGTCTCATAAAACATGTATGAAAATTAATAGGTATATAGAGAAAGAAGACATAATGTGAGATATCAGGTATCTGGGTAGTGATAATAGTAAACATCGTAGTTTAGTGAAATTATATTGGCCTGGGATGATTATGACAGACATAAACTAGGCTTAGAAGTTAGACTTAAAGCTGTGATATTTTTGGCCAAAAGTATTGCATGTGCTAATAAATGGAGATGGGAAAACTACCAAATATAAAATTGATGAAGACATGATATTTTACAACTGAGTTGTCAATATAGTAGGTGCTAGCCAAATAAGGCTATTGAATATTTTAAAAATGGCTGGATCTTAAAAACTTAAAAAACTGCCTCAATTTTTCTATGTTGAAATATTTTTAGATTACATCATTGATTGTCACTTATTTTTTATTCCTGTTAATGTGGCTGCTACATTAAGATTATGTGTTTTATATTACATTTTTATTTGGCAGTGCTACTCTAGAAGACAGAATAATCTTCAGTATTCCACCTATGTAAGGAAAATGGGCAACAATGGTAGCAAAACACCAAATGTTAGATAGCCTCCCCCCCCCCCCAGTAACTGTTAAGATTTCATTTTGCAATGGAGGAAAATATTGGAAAGGTAATAACTAGAGGATGAGTCATTTTACTTATATGATACTTTGCTTCGAGTTTAATTTCCTTTGATTTAGTTTAGTTTGTTTATCAAGGAATGCAAGAAACATACAACTACTATTTATTTATTTATTTATTTTAGATTTATTTATTTGTGCATACAGAACTGGGTACAGGCCAGAAGTGCAGGGATGGTGAGAGGATTCACCAGAGACAGAGTGGGGAGCAGAACAGGCAGATCAATGAAGCACACTGCTAAGGGGAGCAGCGGGCAGGCCAGGAGAAGTGTGCTGCGCCATGTGGTCACGTCCAGGGCAGGTGGGGATCGAACTCATGCAGAAGTGGCTTTAGCTTCTTGGTGCTGTGCTTTAAACCACTGTGCCACCAAGGAGGGCCCCTATTCCCATTTTTAACGCAATTTCCCCAGGAGCTCCTTTCAGAGAAGGATGTAGCTGGTTCTCCCTCCAGAAAGATACTTAACCCTGCTGAGTTTTGACTGCCTGTGATTGACTTTTATGATGTAGGAAAGAAAGCAAGATGAGAAAGGTCATATCTGCAGGAAACCTAGTATCTTCTCTGCAGTGAAGCATGTGCAAAGTGAAGGGGAAGAAGCTTAGTCACTGCAAGTATACTTTGTATGAATTTCCTTTTTTAGGGCTTTCCTCATGCCCTTATATCATCTTTTAATGTTTTATTTCCTGCCTAACTGTAACTTGCTTTTTATTTTAGTGGTGCTTGGGACCTACACTGAATGCCATTAAGAGTTTCACTAGGGAAGAAAAGGAGAAAGCTAAATTTCTACTCTCTGTTATTTTGAGAAAGGAAGTCAGAAATGTTTTTTATGTGTACTCTTTCTCTCTCTACTCATTGGACTTTCGCCAGTGGACTAATTACTCTGTTGATTATCACAGTTAGAATAAGATAGGAGCCATTCTTGGGTAAAATGAATAATATAATTTTTGGACTAGAAAATATGTGCAATAACTTGCTAACAGATATGTTATGCCCTTGGCAGGAATCCCAAGGATGCCCACCAGACCCGGATGGAAAGAAAGGGTGGAGGCAGTGTTATTTTCTTGTAGGCATTCATTCTTTTGTGCCCCGGGATTTCTTGACTTTCTTACTAACTTCTTTCATATACCTCTGGGATTGGGTGAGAGCTTTGCTGACTGCATGAGTTTAATCCCTAGTCAGGTAGCTGACCCACATGGTGCAGCAGACCTCCTCTGTCTCACCTGCTGCTCCCCTCAGCAGTGTATTTCAGTCTGTGTGCCTGTTTTGTTCCCCACTCTGTCTCAGGTGAACCCTCTTACCTCTGCACGTCTGGCTGTACCCCAGTTCTTGTATGCATAAATAAATACATAGTTGTCTGTGTTTTGACTGCAACTATTTACATATACAACCTTACCTTTAGGTAACATGTTTGCTTACTATACATATCATCACCTTACCTTTAGGAATAAATGCAGGTTATGTAGGAGTTTTAACAACTTTGAAGTTGCTGAAACCTGAACTGAAATCCTGACTCTTGTACTGGCAAATTAATCTTGTGAAGCTTTAATTTCTTCATTTCTAATATGGAGAGGGTAATGTATTTTATAAGGTTATTTTGAAGTTTAGATGAGCTAATTGATATAAATTACTAAGCTTAGAGCTTGACCTATAGGAAACACTCATTGTTACCTAATATTACTATATGAAAGTGCATCCCATATTCTCTTTAGTGAACATATACACTTTATGATGTAAGCTCTTCTATCATAAATTGAGGGCTACCTCTCAATAGCTATTTATTAAGTAAACTAATGACCACAAGGTTTTTCTGGTAGTAGCTGACCTAAATATTTCTTTTTCTTTGCAGATCTTATATTGCACTTTAAACACACCTAAAGTTGACATGGAAAAACTCTTAGGATCACAAATAGGTCTTGAAGATTTCATATTTGCCCATGTGAAAGGGGTCGAAAAAGAAGTGGAGGTGCATAAATCTGAGGAGTCACTTGGTATCACCATTACAGATAATGGTGTTGACTGTGCTTTTATAAAGGTAAGTCTTAAATAGCTGTGTGTCCTAACTAAGGAGTAACATATAAGAAAATCCAGCAGGTCAAAGTAATTTGGAAATGATCTTCAAATCCAGCTCAGTAAAAATGGATAGAGTGGCTAGTGTTTCACTTAAATCTTTCAGACTTTTTTTTTTTTAATTCTTTTCTTGAATTTCTTTCCCTTCATTTAAAATTCCCTGAGAATTTAAAACAAAGAGGAGGCCTGGCCCTGTTGTCTACTCATCATCCACATTAGCGCCTGTAGATCTGTAGCTCATTAATATGTAATGATTTCCATTGATTTTTGTATTTCCAAGGGCATGCATTTCTGGTCACTATTTCTTCTTTAAAAATGCTCTTCAAAAATTTCTAAACTTTACAACTTACTCAGGGGCAGCGAGAGGCTTCATCAGAGACAGAGTGGGGAGCAGAACAGGCAGATTGATGAAGAAGACTGCTGAGGGGAGCAGTGGGCAGGTCAGGAGAGGTCTGCCACACCATGTGGCCACCTCCGGGGCAGGTGGGGATCGAACTCATGCGGAAGTGGCTTTAGCTTCTCAGTGCTGTGCTTTAACCCTCTGTGCCACCAGGGAGGGCCTATTATTATTTTTTTTAATACAAAGAGCAACATGGAGCTGCAAAGTTTAGAGAGGGAAGTTTGAGGTGATATAAAAATGATTAAGAACTTAGAGTGGTAAAAAGTAGATTCACCTCTTAATACTACTGTAAAAGTATTTAACAGCTGATTTTTATTGACTGCTTATCATATACTTGGTACTTTGCATACACTTTCTCATTTAATCCTTACAGCAATTCCATTTGATTTTTTTTATTTGTTTGTTGAGCTATAATAACTTTTTAGTGTACAACTTAATGAATCTTTACAAACTTATACTTGTATAGCCAGTATTCAGGTCAAGGGAAATTGCTTCCTTGTGCTTCTTCACAGGAAATACTCTTCCACAACAAAGGGAGCCACTACTTTGACTTCTGTCACCATGGTTTTGATTGTAAGTGCAATCATATTACATGCTATTACATGCTTTCTTTCTGTTTTCTTTTGATCAACATGATGTGAGACCCATTAGTCATTATTATCAGCCTCTATTTTACAGGATCAGAAAGGTTAAGTAGTTTCCCCAAATTTGTGATGGGACAAATTCAACACCTGAATCCAAGAGCTCCTACCCTGTGTGTTAAGGATTAGGGATAGGCCTGCTAGCCACATGGTTTGTGCCCAGTACTGTCTGCTCCCATGACCTGCACAGAACAACTACTGGAGCTGTATGGGGATTGGTGGGGGACAGGCAGGCTTCAGAGAATCTGAGGGGGCCCAGGCCTGTCTAGGCCCCATATGTCTGCATGTCTGTTTCTAGTACTCTGAAACACTAGAAAAGGACTAACAATCTGACTAGTATCCTTGCAGGAGAGGAAAAAGGAAGGGAATCTCAACTTGGGAAAAACTCTACAATGGATATGTAGGAAAACTGGAAAGTGAGGGAAAACCACATGAAGTAGAGCCTGCTGATGAAGGAAAGGCAGGGGAGGATGAAATGCTACACAGAAAGAAGAATCCAGAACAGAGTGCCAGGAGAAGGGACAGACAGATGATGAGGGAAAGCTAGAAAAGTCTGGCAAGTCTGAGGGTGAGAGAGATACTCATGTTAAGGGGGAGCCAGAATCCCAGGGAAAAACAGAGAGCCAGCCTTATGCTGTTGAAAAGTACCTGACTGAGGGCCCTCCCTCGTGGTGTAGTGGGTTAAAGCACAGCACTAGGAAGCTAGCTTCAGCTGCTTCAGTATGAGTTTGATCCCCAGCCAGATCAGGGAGGTGACCCATATGGCACAGCAGGCCTCTCCTGTCTCACCCGCTGCTCCCCTCAGCAGTGTACTTTGATGATCTACCTGTTCTGTTCCCCACTCTGTCTCTGATAAAGCCTCTCACCGCCCCTACACCTTGGGCCTATACCCCAGTTATGTATGCATAAATAAATAAGTCTTAAAAAAAAAATACCTGACTGAATATTATGTAGTTAGTGAAGTAAAGAGAAAAACGGACGAAGACGGAGGATTCCTCCCAGACTGTCAGGAGAATTTATAGGAAGGACATTTGGACAGTGAGAAGATAATGTGGAGATGTAAAAGGATGTAGGAAGAGCAAGGGAAAAATCAGAAAATGGATGATCTTCATGGGCTACAAAGAGTTGTACTGGATCCATTCACTCTTATGTCAGGAATGAGGGATGGAGGGGAATGACCAAAGGGACCTGCATGAGAACATGTATCTTTAATGCTTTTGCATTAAAGTTGGATTTGAGAGTATTGCTGACCCTGCCTTTCCTGGCTGGCACTTGCCAGACCATGTGCTTGAACCTCATGCTGATACTTTCCTTGAGGTGTCACCCTTGTTGATCCAGCTAGTGTGCTCTATCAGAAGGGAACTTTCACCCTCAAGTGAGGTAGAGATGGTCATAGTACATTGTAAAAAATGAGTGGCTTTCAGAACTAAAGTAATCAGAGATAAACTTCATGCAGCAGAAAGTGTTTAAAGCCTTTATTTTGTCCACACCCTTCATTTGTAATGCATTGTCATCATTAAAAAATAGTCTCAGAGAAGTTACCCTCTTCACTGTAAATTGTACTTTAACTTCCCACAGGCTAGAATGGCTATTTTTAGCTTTGCAAAAGATAGGACTGTGCCGAAGGTTGAGTGGGTGACCAAATGGAAAATCTGTGAGTGGGGAAAGTCATGTGGGATTATCCAGGGGAAGCTCAGGACATGAGGTACATGGAGCGATGCCTTTCTAATGTCAGTGGGGAAGGGCTTGGAAGTTTTGCAAATGTGTGGCTATTTTAGATCTTAGTAGCTGATGTTCAGAGCTTGTGTTCCTGTTTTTTAAAATGCCTCTTAGAACACATGCTTGCCTCAGAGTACTAGTCATTAGGCCTGTGGAGACAGAGGACATGTTGACAAAGAAGGCGAAGCATAAGTCAAACTGCCGACATGTAATTCAGTTTAGAAATGTTCTGTTGTGTACATAGTTAATGATTTAAAAATGGGGAGGGGGTTGTAAGCTTAGTTGAAGATTGTAATAACAACACAAAGAAATTCAAAAGTATCCTCTACCCAGATTTTGACACTTGTCACATTTGCTTTATTTTCTGTCTCTCTCATACACACACACTTATATATACGTGCATGTGTGTATATATGTGAATCCATTTTCCAATTTTCATGAACAACTTGAAAAGGTAGATTGCATATATTATGTCTCTTTACCCCTTAAAATCAGACTTTAATTGTTGAAAACAAGGATATCTATTTATGTGTAACTCAAGTATAACTAGGAAATGTAGAAAATCAAACATTGATAAAATACTTTCAAGCAAATCTAAAGTTCTTGCTGCAGTTTTAGCAGTTATGCTAATGTTCTCTTCCTCTCACCATAGGTCCTATCTATGCCTTTCATTTAATTTTTTTTAAATTGTTTTTATTTTAGAAAATTTCCTCAGTCTTTTCTGGGATGTGCCTTGATTTGGGGTTTTCTGTTGCCTCATGTTGATGTATTTTTGGCAGGCAAATTCTTTAAGCAATGTGTCTTAGGGTAATACATATATCATAAGGTGTGTTATGTTAATTTGTCTTATTATTATAATTTTCATCACTTGTCTAAGGTCATTATCTTCCAGTATACCTATGTTATAACTACAAAGTTTTATTTTCCTTTGTAATTGATAATTTGTGGGGAGATACCTTGTGATTATGAAAATATCCTGGTCTCTTGTAAACTACAGATTTAGCGTCTGTTGATGAATCTTGCCTGAAATTGGTTTTCACTATACTAGATCTAAAGTGGTCATTCTTCTGATTCTGTCATTCCTTTTTATATTTCTTTAAGACATGCTGTTGTAAAACATCCCACTTTTTTTTTAATATCCTTAAATGGCTAAATTGTATTTGAATTTTAAAAAATAATACAATAATATATTTTTACATCATTTTGTGCCTTTTTCCATCTCACTGTAATCCCTGTGGGCTTCCTATCACCAAATCACCCGTGTGTCATCCCTATAGTCCAGTGTACTTCCCCCACCCTCCATTTTTGATCCCATTCCCCACTCCACCCCTGTAAAATGTCTCTGGTATATGGTTGCTCATTATAATTTTTTTTTCTCCCTGGTCCTTTATACTCCTCCTATGAGTGAAACCATCTGGTATTTTTCCTTTTCTTTCTGGCTTATTTCACTAAGCATGATCCTTTCCAGCTCCATCCATGTTGCTGCAAAAGGCATGTATTTATCTTTTAATTGCTGAGTAATATTCCATTGTGTATATATACCACATCTTTTTAATCTAGTCATCTACTTTTGGGCATTTGGGTTGTTTCCATGTTTTTCCTATTGTAAATAAAGCAGCAATCAACAAGGGGGTGCAGGTATCTTTTTGAGTCAGTGTTTTGTGTCTTTTGGGTAGATACGTAGGGGTGGGATTGCTGGGTCATATGGAAGCTCCATTTTAGCGATTTGAGGAAACTCCAAACAGTTTTCCATAGTGGTTGTACTAGTTTGCATTCCCACCAGCAGTACAGGAGAGAGTTCCTTTTTCTTCACATCTTTGCCAACATTTGTTGTTGCTAGTTGTTTGAAGATGTGCCATTCTCATGGGGTGAGATGCTATCTCATTGTGGTTTTAATTTGTATCTCCCTTATTACAAGTGATGTTGAACATTTTTTCATGTGTTTGTTGGCCATCCGCATTTCCTTTTGGAGAAGTGTCTTTAGCTCTTCTGCCCATTTTTTGATGGGGTTGTTTAATTTATTTTTGTTGAATTTCATCAGTTCTTTGCATATCGTTGTGATCAATCCTTTATCGCTAGTTTTGTGTGAGAAAAGTTTTTCCCAATCAGTGGAATGTCTGTTTGTTTTTTGTAATGTCTCTTTTTCTGTGCAGAAGCTCTTTAACTTGATGTAGTCCCATCTGTTTATCCTTTCCTTTAGTATCATTGTGTTGGGTGCTGTATTGTCAAAGAAAAACATTCCACTTCTAATTTATCTATTACCTACATGGACACATTATTTATTTTATGCTGTGGGCTATAATGCATTGCCACCATTTATTTTGATGCTCAATTTTTTCCTGAGATTTGACCTGAAGGAGTCCTTTTAAGTAGCTCCTGTGTCCTTTTGACATGGTTACCATCATTATGATCAGTTTCTTTTTTTTTTTTTTCTGGCAAAACAAGATGTTCTAGAGACATCTATTATCTTTCCTCCAAGACGAAATCAACCATTTCTCCAAAGAGCTCAAGTTTGTTTGGTGAGGACTGGTGTTTCAAAACCAACATCTGAATGAGTGGTACTCCTTTGTATCTTTAGGTCTTTTTTAGTGGTATGGTTAGAAATCATATTTTAGAAATTGTGAATTTATAATGACAGCTCCATTTTTTAAAAAAAGATTTATTTATTTATTCATACAGAACTGGGGTACAGGCCAGAGATGTGCGGAGGGTGAGAGGATTCACCAGGGACAGAGTGGGGAGCAGAACAGGCAGATGGAGGAAGTACACTGCTGAGGGGAGCAGCAGGCGAGACAGGAGAGGTCTGCCACGCCATGTGGATCTCCTCCCGGGCAGGCGGGGATCGAACTCATGAGGAGTTGGCTTAAGCTTCTCAGTGCAATGCCTTAAACCGCTGCGCCACCAGGGAGGGCCCGACAACTCCATTTTAATGTAGCCAAGGGCTCTTCATTGGCTTCCCCATTTTAATGTACTTACTTTTCAATATCATTTATTTTACTCTTTGCTACAATCTATCATATACACAAAATAGTTTCAGAATTGCTATATAATTGCCTGAAAATAAACCTAAGAGTTCAAGATATTTATGCACTTTTAGTCCTAAAACTAAATATATGTATAATCAAAGTATTCCAGAAGATATCTGGAATAGGTTCTTTCCTGTCCCCCCACCCTGGGCTGGTGGTTATTCATTTGAAATACTGTTGAACCCAGTTGCTTCTCTCTAAATTGAGTTTCAATTTTATTTTCTGAATATATAAAATATTAATATGATTCAAGAGTCAAAGTTATTTTAAAAGGGAAGAACATAAGGGACTGAGTAAATGTGCATGGGTGAATTGGTGGTGGAAACACTATGGGGACTAGCGCTGATGTAAATCATATAGTAATAATAATAAATTAATAATAATAATAATGCATATTCAAGGCTTCCTGAGTTCAATCCCCAGCCTGAGAGTTGACCCACATGGCACAGCAGACCTCTCCTGTTTCATCTGCTGCTCCCCTCAGCAGTGTATTTCAGTATCTCTGCCTGTTCTGCTCCCCATTCTGTCTCTGGTGTATCCTCTTACCCTATTGTTTCTTTTTGCCAAGCAAAATGGAATGTTCAGTAATTTGCATGTCATCCTTGTGTACAAGGGCCATGATAACCTTTCTCTTTGGTTTCAAACAGTTGAAGACAGGAGTTGGCAAACATTTTCTATAAAGGGCCAAATGGTAATAGTTTGGTCTTCATCATAATTTAGGGTCAGAAAGTTTCTGTTGGTAGTATCTCAGTTTGAAACCTAGTTCTGTTGCTTAATTAGCTGTTACTTAGCACAACTCTTATAATTACTGTACCTTGATTTACTCATTTATTAATGGGTTGAGGCTCCTTGTGAGAATTAAATGACATAACTTTGTAATTGTTATATGAATGTTAGTTTATTATTAGGAACACGTTTTGGAGGTAGCTTTGGGAGGATCAGCAAAACAGATCTCAGTTGCTGATCAGCTGTTTAGACATGGGCTCAAACACCTGGAATGGAGTGTTTAAGACTTTTGAGGGGTGAGGTGCCTCCCAAGAGTCTGCTGATGTCTGTGATGAAAAGATGGAGTTCTATAAATATATGGGATGATATAATGGAAGGTATTGTAGTATTTGAAATGTTGGGAATCTTTAAGTTTAATGTTGCAATTCCTGTCTTCCAAAAAATATTCAATATGTCTTTGCCTTTTGCAGCTTCCAAGCCAGATGAAATTGTTAAGTGTGACATTTTAGATAGATATATAGTTATATAGATATATATAACTATATTAGATATATAGTTAAGTATAATTTATTATAAATCCATTTGTTCCCCCGCTGTTCTGTAGTGTCACCATTCTTATAAATTATTTCCATCTATTACACTGCCTCAGTATTCATAGCTTTATACTGTCTTGATATTGAGTACAGTTGTTAAACCAAGCTTTCACAATATCTATAAACACAAATTTGTTGGGATCTGTTTAAATCAAACAGATTAAAAAACACATTTAAAAAGTCCTAAGTATGTTAGAGTGTGGTATTGACTGACTCAGTTAATGTTAGTATAAGATTGTGTCTCTTGTTTTTTCTTCTTAGCCCTTTGTACTTAGCTGTATTATTAATCGCCGTCATATAATGGTATTATCAGAGTTTCTAGATCCAGAAACTTGGCTCAAGTGATATCTCATTCTTTATCCTACTTACATGAGAGGTTAAGGCTCAGGTAACCCACAAAATATATAATCAGGGCCTCCCACTTTGCTTACATGGTGGTATTCCCCACATTTCCTGCATTGATTGTCATGTCTCTTTGTCCCAGGTCCTTGTCTGCTGCCCTTGATAACTACATCTGCTTCAACTTCCTCTTGCCAATTGAGTTCTTACTTTACTGCCTGCTCTGACTTGTGGTAATTGTTTTTCCCTCCTCTGGGCACTATTCTGGTGACCTCTGGCTATTTAGGAGATCCTAGATTTCTATTACTCTGGCCTTTGATTTACTGGTAAGATGCATACATGTCTTTAGAGTCTTTGATTTAATTAACTTTATGGAATGCTTATTTTAAATTATAACAATAATTCTTAAAACTAAAAAGGGTGGGGCACTGAAATTTATATGGCATAGTTTATCAAAAAAGAAAAAAGGTTCAGAGTATCAATAAAACTTAAGAAAATTCAAAGTTAGGGGGTTTTACATTCTGAAATAGCTTAAGAGTGGTTAGATGACAGAATTAAATTTTTTTGTTTCTTTAGGCTCTAGTATTTTGTTTGATCTTGCTGTGACAGTTATAAACACTAGTATACTGAGAATATGTTATGTTTACCATTATTTGTTTGTTAGTTTATAAGAGGGATTTAGAATAATATTATTAAATTTCTGGGTTTTTTTTCCTTCTTTATAATACATTATTTGTAATGATAAAAAGCTTTGTTTGAATTGGCACCTTAACAGTTACCATCACAGTGAACATAGCAGTGTTCTTAAAATTTTGGAATGAAAAAGAAACCTCATGAATTTGATATATAGCAATAAAATTTGAAAATTAAAAATATCTAACCTTGCCAGTTTTGCCTTTTATAACTCATTTTTGTTGTATTTTCTGATGACATGGAGATGCTGTGGGATACATGAAAATAGTTTTCTCTCAACCTGTAGACACACTATCAATCATCCTGCTGTTTCAGAAGATTTTTCTTCCATTTGGCAAAAGTGGAGAATGTGTATGCTTTTGTCACACAATTGTAGCAGCCTCTGACATTTGTATTTTATCATTCCTGAAGGATTTGTGAATTCTGAGGCTGACTGTGGCCATCATTTTGTCCAATTTCTCACCACTGTGGGTGAACCATACAGTCTTTGCAGAGTTGTAATCCTTGCAGAGTTTGAGTTCCTTTTCCTAAAATCCTTTCAGAACTCCTGGTGCTATGGTAGTGAATCTTAGATCTGCACTATAGATGTATAGAAGTAAGAGAGTTGTCACAAAGATCAACTTAGTTTCTCCTTTGGTCCTAAGTTCTCAATCAAAAATAATATACATGAAAAATAATAATATAAAGTAACTCTTACTGTCTACCCAAGTGGTAACAATAACTGATAATTGATTCAGCAATTATTTATGGAGGCACTTGTATATGTAGGATTTGTGCCAGACACAAGGCCTTCAGGGATGAATAAAACAACTCTATGCCCAAGGATATTATAGTTCAGTAAAAAAGACTACTGAATGGTAGTAGGACAATTACATTGTGGTTTGTTGAACTTGAGAGCTGTCTTCCCTGACTTTAATCATCTCGATTTATAACATGAGAAAATCATAAACATTTTAGAATTAGATGAGAGGATGAATGTAGAGAGTTTGATTAAGGATGAACAAGTATAGTAACATATTTTAGAAACCTGACTGGGAGAGTGGACTTGCGAATGTTCCGACCAGGTCCTCAGAGGAGGTGGTGAGTGAAGTTGCTGAATTCTGAATGAGATAAGATGGTTGTCCTGTGTTGGTTGGTCTTTAAACATTCACGTGCACTGTCACTGTCAGTATATTGTGTATAATGTCTCAAGAACATGACAGTATGGTTCACCATTCTATTTTGTAATTTTGTTTTCCTTAATTTTCTTTCAGAGAATTAAAGATGGCAGTGTAATTGACTCAGTTAAAACAATATGTGTCGGGGATCATATTGCATGCATAAATGGAGAAAATACTGCTGGGTGGCGTCACTATGATGTGGCTAAGAAGTTAAAATCACTAAAAAAAGAGGAAGTCTTCACCATGAAGTTAATAGAACCTAGGAAGGCATTTGGTAAGTTGGCTTTGTGTGTGTGTGAAATGTTCTCTCTCTGCTTCATTTTTCTAAGGAAAGTGAGTACAGCCATGTGCTTTTAGTGTATCTGTTAACACAGAACAGTAGATAATGCTATGTATAAGGAAAAAAACTACTGAAGGAGAAAAAGGGTATCTAGAAGGGCATTTTCTAAAAAAGCCTTTTGAAATGACAACATCGAGTGTCTAATCACGTTGATGCTGCTGTTCTAAACTCTAAGAATAGCACATTGCATTGTATTCATCTTACTGAGCAGTATGATTTTTGATGGAACTCTTTAAATCATAGGAACTGTCATTCATGGACTGCAATAGAAGAATTTCAGTTACACATGGGTTTGGTATTTTGAGTAGTTATCTAGCCTATTTTAAAGACTTTCTTCAATACTTTTCCTCCACTGGTATTTGAATTTGGCTGTGTGGCATGGCATGAAATTCCACTTTGGTGTGACATCTGTACTTACTTGGTTTTAGCCATGGCAGCTGTGTTCCAACTGTTTTTGCAAACCTCCAGGACCATCTCATCTACAGTGAAAGGTGCCAGCTTCTCTCTTACCACCCAGCACTATTTTAATAAGCCAGATGATGGTCTAGTATTCATCAGTGTTAAAATATCTTTAGTAGCATCATTTCTATGCCTGACTCATCCAGGAGTCCTACCGACTTCTGGTCATTTCCTTTGCTCATAACATAAAGTGACCCTTGCTTTTTCGCTAGTAGCTATTTTCTCAGAATAGTTAATGAAAGTAATGGTTAAAAGCAATGCGTCTAGGGAATTAATGTTTTTTATCCCTTAGCAAGTACGCAGCAGATCTTAGCTGTATGGAATTGGAACTATTTTGTACATACAAATGATTTGCTGTCACTTAATAGGAATACATGTAGATTCTACTACTTGTGGAAGACAAAGTTCCAACAAGATGTAAGATTTATCTTTAACTTGGATGTAAGTTGACAATAGTCTTGGATGTTTACCAGGGTCACTGAATTTAGCTATTATTATTGAAGTATTAGATTTTTTCCTTCAATACCAGAGAAACAGTGTAGGTGGTTAATGTACTTCCCTGTCTTATATTGCCTGGCTACTATTGAACCCTTCTGTTAGGCATATGCATTCCGAAGAGAGGGTAGGGTTTTCCTAGTGAGAGTATATTATTTCAGCATCCTACATTTTTTTTAAAGGTTTATTTATTTATGCATAAAGAACTGGGGTACAGGCCAGAGGTGCAGGGGCGGTGAGAGGGTTCAACCAGAGACAGAGTGGAGAGCAGAGCAGGCAGATCTACAAAGTACACTGCTGAGGGGAGCAGCGGACGAGACAGGAGAGGTCTGCTGACAATGTGGATCACCTTCCTGGCCGGGGATCAAACTCACACCAAAGCTGCTGCAGCTATCTTCACAGTGCTGTGCTTTAACCCATTGCGCCCTGCAGCATCCTAAATTTTAATAGTTCTGGACATGTGGGAAGAATACGTGGAGTGCACATTAGAAGATACTTGGATACAGATTTTCTTTAATTCTCTTGGTCCCAGTCTTCTCTGTGGCTAGTTTTAAATGTGCCCTCCTGCACTATCATTGGTGTATTTATTCACATTGTATAGCCCTTTGTGATTTTCTGATTTTCTGCTATCTTGGATACCTATTAGAAAGAGCCATTTGAGGTGAGGCAAAAACTTGCTTTTTTGCATTCAGGTAGTCCATTTTGGCTGAAGCTAAATCATCATTAGCATTTTTTTTTTAAAAAAAAGCTTTCAGAAATGACCAAACCAACTTTGCTAAAGATTTAAATTGATGGGAGAAGATATGGGCTGTGTTTCAAAATGCTTTAGAGAATTAAATATATATATATGTATACACACACATTTATTTATTTATTTATGCATACAAAAACTGGGGTACAGGCCATACGTGTGGGAGATAAGAGGATTCACCAGAGACAGGGTAAGGAGCAGAACAAGTGGATTGACTGAAATACACTGCTGAGGGGAGCAGATGGCAGGACAAGTCTACCACACCATGTAGGTCACCCCCCTCGCTGGGGATTGAACTCATGCTGCAATGGCTGCAGACAGCTCGACAGCCCTGTGATTTAACCCATTGTACCATAAGGGAGGGCCAACTTAGAGGACTTTACAAGAGGCTTAATTAGTGGATGGAACTGAGAGATTTGTACAAAGTTTAATAAATCAGAAAGAGAAAATATATTAGATGACTTTACACACGTGGAGTGTAAAAAAGGGAAAGGAACATACAAAACTAAACTAAGACAAACCCTAGAAATATTACTGCAGCATTGAGGCTACTAGAAGGGAAGGTAAGGGGGACAAAGTGGGGAGGGAGCCTGTGATATGTTGGAGGATTATGTATGCTTTGGTGGTAAGTGTGGTGTAATTTATACCTAAGGAGGTGTGAAATGGTGGCACAGGGGTTAAATCTCAGCACTATCAAGCTATCACCATCTGCTATAGCATGAGTTCGAATCTGATCCCCAGCTAGGGAGCTGACCCACATGGTACAGCAGTCCTCTCCTGTCTTACCCCTGCTCCCCTCAAAAGTGTACTTCAGAAGATCTGCCTCTTCTGATCCCCACTTTGTTTCTGGTAAATTCTCTCATGCCCTCTGGCCTATACCCCAGTTCTTGTATGCATAAATAAAAATAAATCTTAAAAAAATAAAAATAAAAGATGTATGAAGCTATAACTCCTAGATCATATATAATGTTGTAAACCAATGTTATCTCTCTTTCACTCTCTCTCTCTCCATATATACATATATAAATTAAGCATTTAGCTGTTTGACACTATACATTAAAAATGAAAATAATTTAATTTGAATAAAGACTTGTTTTTAGTGGACAAAAGGAGAAAAATGCCCTACGGAGTTGGAATAAGCAAAGCTGCTAGAGATATGGGGCAGTAGCATCTATCTGGGAATACCTGTATGCCTGTGTGATTGGAATAGAGATTGTAAGTGATGTGGTAAGTAACGAAGATCAAGAATCAGCAGGGACCAGACTGTGAAGGGCTTATACAGAAGAAGGTGAAGAGTAGACAGTGGAGTCTCAGCAAAGATGTTTTGGCAGGGGAGTAGCAAGATGAGAGCTGGATTTTAGAAAGATATTCTGGAGTGTGTGGAAAGAGTTATTGATTATGTGCTGGAGGTCTGTTATCATAAGGATTCTATGGTTTCAGCTGAGGAAAGAGAAGTCAAAATTCTGCATTAAAGCAGTACCAGTAAGTGTGGAAATAAGAAATGGTTCTGGAAAATAGACAGAGGTATTTGGAGTCCATTCATGCACAACTTTTTCCAGCTCCATGCTGATGGCTTGAATGCGGTGGGGTAATTTCATTATAGAAATAGGCAATTGCTGCACATCAGGACTTCATTTTAGACTGGAGAGTGGGTGGTTAAACATTTACCTGTATGCCACTGAAGGTAGCTTTGGTAACTTACTGGACACAAAGGAAAAAAGAGTACAAATGATGAATTGAGTGAAGGCTTGAGGTGAAGAAAACTAGAAAAGAGGTAGATTTGGGTGAAAAGGTAAGAAAGGAAGATTGTACTCAGGGTACAATTTTGCAGCTGGTGAGTTTGAAATTTGTAGAAGAATTTTGGAAATGTATAAGAGTACTGAATATTAGAGGTTAATGAATGATATTTATAAGTAATTGTCCTAGATTGCTAGAGAAAGCCATGAAGGTAGATCTGAACTTAGAGTAATAAGAGAGAAAGACCACAGATAGAACTTCAGGGAACCCCAGCATTTCAGATGGTGAATGAGAAGGAGCCCACATATGAGGAATGACCACATATGAGGAGACAGTCTTCTGGGTGGCCTGTTCCCCAATTCCCAAGAAAATGTCCCTTGTCCCATAAGCAGATGCTCTACATCAGCTTTCCTAAGTTGGTGTGGACTGTGATGGAGGAATTAAAGCTTTTATAAAAAACATAACCTCAGAGATGCCACTGCTCATTAGAGTTGAAATCACTGGTTTTTAACCCTTGGATCCCAGTTTGTTTAGATCATAAAATAGAACCAAATAGAAAATTTCATAGTGCTTTTGTGTCTACTACGTGTAAGTATTGTTTTAGTTGCATCATTTTCATGTATGCGCTTCTGTTTTGCATATTTTTGTGTATATGTGTTGGTCATGATTTAAGGTACCCATTTCTCACTGTGGGTCAGAAAAAAAATTGAAAAACACTTGTTTAAACGACTCCTTCGTTGAAAACGTGTAGTTTAATGGGAAATGTTTTCCAGGCCTAACATGGTTTCTTTTGGTCAGCTGCTTTTGGATCCCAATTTTCCTTCTTCTAGCCATGGGCTGATGGCATCTTTCCCAGTCCTTATCAAGTATCGGCTGGAATGTCTCCACTGGTATTTTTTTTTTAGGGCCTGGCTCACTTCCTTTCCTCTCTGCCAATTAAAAGGAGAGCATGTCTCCCCAATGAGCTCAACCCTGCAACATTTGCTCTGTAAACCTAGATTTTTCCCAAGGCTATGAAAATCCATTCCTCCATTTAAATACTTCTAGGACTAGATGATTTCAATTAGTTTGTATACTAATTAGCCCTTTTAACTGCAGAAAAATAACTATTAAATCTAAGAGGCTTTGAGTCAGTTTCACTTAGATAAGCCTCTACTTTGTTTATATTAGAGAATTTAGTTTTTAATGGTTACCCTTTATGGAAAAAGGTTTGTGGAAGGAGGCCCAAAATGTCCCCCTACGTGTCTTTAAATCAGAGAGGTAGTTGAAAATTTACTTCCTAAAGCATTGATAGTTTTGGCTTTGGGCTTAGATTTTTTTAACAGATCACTCAGCAATTCTCCTTTTTGAGGCTTCATTTCTGTGTTATGTGTCCATCAGAATAGGATGTTCAGTATGTGAAATGCGTTCAAATTGTTTGAGTCATTCACTGGAAAACTTGGACCTCATCTTCGTGATTCAGCTTAACTGATAAATTCATTTTCAAAGACTC